AATCTTTCTCCAAGCCCAACTTCGGGTCCCTTGTCAACAATGTATATTCCTCTACACTTATTTTCTTTTCTCTCTCCTTTTGCTTTTTGGTGAGGCAGTTGGGGTTAAGTGACTTGCCCAGGGTCACACAGCTAGTAAGTGTCAGTCAAGTGTCTGAGGCCTGATTTAAACTCAGATCCTCCTGACTGCAAGGCCAGAGCTCTATCCACTGTGCCACCTAGCTGCCCCCATACCTTTTTTTTTTAAAGGCAATTGGGGTTAAGTGACTTGCCCAGGGTCACACAGCTAGTAAGTGTCAAAGTGTTTGGTCTGAGGCCGAATTTGAACTCAGGTCCTCCTGACTTCAGGGCCAGAGCTCTATATACTGCGTCACCTAGCTGCCCCTCATATCTATTTTCTAAGCAACAATTTGAACTCTATCCCATTCTACTAACTGCCAATGAATGATCAATGCAGATGTTATTATTAATGGGGCTGTCTCTACCATCATCCTTTCCATTGGCTCTCTCCTCTTCCCAACTCCACATTCATCACAGATCAGGCCTCTGGTGAATCATTTATGGTACTTTTCATGCCACCTCAAAATCCGATTCCTTTACCAATACATTTTGTACATTAGTTTGGCACTTTTAAACAGTAACTACAGGTTAGAAATAGACTGAAAGCTTCAGGGTTCTAGTTTTCTTCCTTGTTAATGAACTTTGCATATTATTATACTGCTATTTTATTCAGTGATTTGTTTGAAATATATAGCACAAGAAAATAAATTTATCAAGTGATCCTCAATTTCATCTATCCAGGGGGCAGCTAGGTGGCGCGGTGGATAGAGCACTGGCCCTGAAGTCAAAAGTACCCAAGTTCAAATCTGGCCTCAGACCAAACACTTGACACTTATTAGCTGTGTGACCCTGAGCAAGTCACTTAACCCCAACTGCCTTAAAAAAAAAGTATCTATCCAAAGAAATGCAGACTAATTCTAGAAATGCCTCTATTCTATACTTTCTAGACTATATTTTTGTGGTACATAAAATATGAGGAAAAGTTTATTAGCTATACACTTGTTAGCTCTTCATAAACTGCCATTAGTCTTTTCTGGATACAACTACATAGAAGCATTGTTTGAACTTAAATGGAAATATTCTAACAAAAACACAGACTATATAGAATTGCTAAATTTACCATTCTTGGGAAGACGAAGGAGGAAAAAGGTTATTTTTCTAAGACAACACTAGTTCCTAAGCAAAATTTACCTATAAGTTTTTATAAGAATGTCTATTTAGCTAAGCCTATTAAAAGATAAAACTCAAAGTGATCGAGTAAAATTGTTTGAGCTAGAATTGGCTTTAAAACCAAGTAATGATTAGCAAAGAAAAAGATAAAGTGGAGCCAATTCCAATTTTTCAGCTGCCGCTATGTACAAAGGTGCACTGGATGTTGAGGATATACAAAATAAAAGATATGATCCTCATCATCAAGGGGATGTAGTGCTATAGGAGTTCAAAGGAGAATGAACTTTCAGAAGGGATAAAGGAAGGTTTTGACAGGGTACAGGCCTAAATTGAGACCTGTACCCCTTACCCCAAAAGAATTTGGGTCCGATTTGTTTGAGGGGGGAATGATGGGGTACGGCCCAAGATGGGCCCCAAAAATCCCTCCTTGAACTTTCCTCGAACACTCCAGTGGTTGCCTGAAGCTATAGTCCTATCAATTGGCCTTTCCTTATAGCCAATACCCAATCTCCCAATTCTCTGTTACCCTAATTGAGCCTAGCCCTCTATTGTCTCATCTGCCAGGCCCCCAGTCACTTCCCATCCTACATCCTATCTAGATCCTATTCAACTTCCCAGTCACTCCCATCAAGATCCTCCCTAGACCATTCTTCCAGTCACTCCAGTTTACTAGCCACTCCCATCAAGATACCCCTTCTCCCAGACCCCTCCTCCAGTCACCCCAAACTACTTGGCCACTCCTAGATCTCTCCCACAGTCTTTCTGTATATAAGATCCAACCTGGCTGCCATTTAGGGGCTGAGACTTCCTCATGCCCACTTGTCTTTACGAGAGTCATCTTTAGATGACTGAAGAGTCTGGCCAATATGGCTAATTTTCAATAAACCTTGTCTTTGGCTGAAAGAAGGCTTGGGTTGAATTTATTGTGATTTTGGGGTCCCAGTACCCCTAACTCTCTAAACCTCAACAGTTTCACAGAGGAAGTTTCAGCCGAGCCTTGAAGGATTATAAGAGGAAGGATGAGAACTGCCATGGACAAGTCATATAACCCCTTGGAGCCTCACTAACTGAAATCTATAAACTGAGGAGGTTGGACTTGATGGCCCCTTCCAGCTCTAAACCTATAATCACATATTTAAAATCCTATGAACTCAACTAGTCAATGTACAGGATTAGTTTGTGTGTATGCATATGTATGAGGGGTGGTGAATCATTCTTGTACTTTTGAATGAAAACCTTATTGAAAAAGGGAAAATGTAGACAATTTCAAATAACAAACCAGTTATATTATGAAGTATGAAATGAATTTTTACTTCACATAAGCTGTAAAACTTGTACAACTCTAGTTCTATTTTGCAATTAAATTAGCTGTCAAAGGAAACTCTATGCAAGATGTTTATGTAAATGAAATATGGACTATTGAAAACACAAGTGTTAATACATTCCCAGACACGGTTTTGTCCTGACTTCTAGAGAACAAAGTCAACAATTCCAAGCCACAAATGCAAGTTTTCCCAGGGCAGTGATCTGCTTCTTTTTAGATGTACTCTATGCAAATGCTCTGTCCTACAAAGAGTCCTCAAGATGGGACAGAATTATTAAGATCAAAGATTTTCACATGACAGTCCCCCATTTAAGATTCCCATCTTCTGTAAAGAGTGAATCTTCATATAAAGAGGCCAATAAGGTTCTTTAATAAGTACTGTCCTCTCCTTCTAAATTTCAAGTACAAATGACAAAGATAAACTGTCCTTCATTTGCTTAAAATTTTGGCTTTAAGCAACAATTCTTATTGAAAAACATGGAATTTTCAACTTTCCTATGAGAATGTGAATAGTATATGTAAGAAGGTTCTAAGTCTTAAAAGAGAAATTCAATGTGCTATTATATTCTTCTCAGAGGAATTTTCACAAGTAGTTACATCTTAGATTTCCCTTAACAATGGAAGGCCAAAAGGAAATAGGAATAGTTTGAGTACAATTTTCCATACAAAGACTTAACTAGCAAAGAGTCAGGTGACCATGGAAACAGAGACAAATATTTAAAGACATCTCTCCATGATCCCTCCCCAAATAAAACTTGTATTTCTCGATAATACATATTTTAAAAATAAAACCAGAATAAGTCAAGAAAAATACTTATTTTAGACTAATTATGCCCAAACATTTCATCAAAAACTCAAGAGTAACGCGTGGTGAAGTACTTCATAAAGAACTTACAAAACAAACATAAAAATATGTTCTAGACAAACTGACTACATTAGAAGAAAGCATGTTATTAGAATGTGAATGTCCTCTCCCATCTAAGAGTAAGCAATGATGAAAAAACTAAATACTGTAGACACATTTCTGACATTCTATTCAACCAGTCTTTCAAAATGTCACCAATCCACAGTGTGAAAAATATATTCAATGAAAGAGCTATTTTAAAATAGTCTATTATCTGCATACTTCAGAAGGGAAAAGTTTATGATAATTTCTGTGAGCTGGTAATTATTCTATAATTTTCAAGGCCATTTTAAACCAATCAGAATACTCTAGAAAACAGTATAACTATTTTGTCTTAATTCTCCTTATACTTCTAGCAACCAGAACAATGCTTTGCACTGAGTAGGTACCTAAAAATGTGTTAGCTGAATTAATGGTTCACCAAGATATCTTCTAATCTAGATAAGACTGGTTTAAGCAGGGAAATGTAATTTTACAGTACAAAGAACTAAGCTGGGACCAAAGAGAATTTGGTCCTAGCTCTGGCTCTGCCACTTAGTGGGCATATCACCTAATCTCTCTGATGTTCAGTTTCCTCCTTTGTAAAATTCAAGGTAATATCAGACTGTTGTTAGGACTGCATGAGCCGAAGGGCTCTTTAAATTGTAAAGTGGTATACAAATAACAGGGCATACTACTACTAGATAGAACTGTTCAGTTTCTACATCTCCAAGGTGTGAAAAGGTTCCACTTTTCATTCTATACCTGTGGACAGTAAATGTCTAAATTACAGTTTCTTCCTTGTAAAAAAACAAAAACAAAAACCTACCTGCCACCAGGCTCAGTTCTACTGCTAGACCTGTTCATAGAGATGCAGGGTGGTAATTCTATTTTTCAAATCTTAGACAAGAAAATATTCAGGACAAGTTAAAGAGGAATAAGACAAGCTAAACATTGTTTTCAGCACAGACGAGCTGTGTCTGTGCTGCCAAGGGAGCGTCAAGACCAGTCTCCGTTAGGTTAACTCCGGGAATTTAATCTGATGTTTAGCCACTCTCACTTCTTTTCCTATCCTACTACCATCTTTCCCTACCCCAGTGAAAATGTGGGACCAGAGAACTCGCCAGTGCTAGAAATGACAAAATACTCCTTACTATACACTGAATCCCTCTCCAAAAGGCCAAAAGAGATCACCTTCAGCTGATCTTATACAGGTCAGTTTGAGACTGATGATCACAAATGAACTACACTGAAATCATATACATTTAGCAGTTATGAGTTTTCTCATTTATTGTCTAATATGGCCCTTATAGTTAGGAGGGGATTATATTAGAGGGAAGATTTAAAAAGGACTAAATGGTGGTAGAAATACATTTTTTAACCTTATGGTGAGGTTAAGCCAGGTACTGCTTTTAACTTCATGTGATCAAAATCGACAGATGTGAAAAAAAAATGCAAATTATTTTTCAGTGAGCATTTCCAGAATATTTATCAAAAGAGAATAATCCTGAAAAGCTGTAACATAAATGCAAAAAGAAAAAAAAGAGGAAACACTTAGACTTACCTATTACTGATTCAACTGTATTACTCGGAGGGTAGAACGGGAGAGCTTTGGCATTGATAGCTGATAGAGTTGTAGGGGATGAACTACCTGATCCAATACTGGAAGCCAGACTAGAAGTTATACTGGAGGTTATACTTGAAGCAAGTGGGTTAACCACTGCAAACACACTGAGGTGGTTCTGTTTAAAAATATATAAATAAAATAAGCAAATGTATTTTTGACAGAAAAATATTAAAGTGACATTAAATACAATTAATTGGGAGAGGATGTGGGATAATTAAGCAAATGTTGGATGTATTATGGATTTCATGTGTTTGTGTGTATTCTGTTCCAAACCAAAGGACCAAGGAAAGTTAACTTTTCCAATTGTTCCAAATTATATTTTAAAAAGTCCAATTCAATTATGACAAATATGACAACCAAAATCAGAAGCTACTTATTGCTAAAATGCATTACCAAATACATCTAGAAAGTGTGACCTTCCAGATTTGACAGACACAATCTGATTTTCCATAAAAAATTCCTTTTAAGAAACAGGAACATACCAGCATAAACAAACACAGTGGATTTAGCTGGTGAAGAAAGATGTGGCAGCCAGGTTGGGAAGACTGAACACGCTTTCAAGTATTTTCCTGTATGCCTGTCTACATATATCTTAAGACACAAAAGATAATGCTCCCCATCATAGCTTCATCCCTTCCTGACCAAAAAAAAAAAGGAAAAAAGATCCAAAGTTCTATCCAACCTCTTGGAAATTTGTATTTGGATGGCTACTTCTGTTGTGTGTATATATGAGTGTATAGTAAAACATCTATAACTTCTGAGAATTATTATATTATTTTCCTCTTTTTCCCAAAGGGAATTAAGAAAAGTTCATTCTTCAACTACCTGAGGAAAGTGAAAATCGGGACAAGTTCAATTATCATTAACGAGTGCGAAAGGGCCAAGGCAAACCATACTACCTAATAATGGGTATGTACCGGCACAATTTCAATTAAAAGAACATGGGGATTAAAAAATGGAGCTTCTCCACACATAGCTGAAAAGAGAAGGAAACTTTGAAAACTAAAAAAGTACTACTCTGGAAAGTAGTAATAGAAAATGTATGCCTATAAAAGAACTAGATTTTTATTAAATCAAAAATAGTTCTCTGTAAAGCAAAGAATACAGTTTCTGTCTCTAAAACAACATGTCTATTACCATATGGCTCTCTATCAGTAAATATTTAAATAAAAATTACTTTCCCTGTGTCACTTTCAATTTATTCACTTGATCAAAATAGTTCTCTAAGGTAATAATTTTGTTGTTGATATCACTAACAGTCTATGAAAGGAAAAAACAAACACTAATTTTAAATAAACTAAATATCTGTCAAATCTAAAATAATTAGCTGAAGCTAAAAAAAAGTCATACCAAACATGGATGGGAAGGGTGAAATGAAAAGATTCCAGCTAGGTAAATTAGTAACATTTTCTAAAACTCAATACTTATCCCTTTCCTGTCTTTCCTTTCAGACCATGAGATACATAGGACTCAGGTGGGGCGCAGGGGAGAGATGTTTCATCACTCTTCTCCCTGCCTCCAATACCCAAGTCCCATGAAAATCCATGGCATGGACTAAAAAGACAGAAGACATTCTAATACTGACACTACAGCTTACATATCAACTCTTTAACTTGTTAACTCTGAACTGTGACAAAGGTATTTTTGTGTATATGTATATGTTTGTGTGTATGTGTGTGTGCACGTTCACGCAAGTGCAGGATAAGTAATTCCATGTCATAATGTGAAGTACCTACAACAGACATTATGTAAATGCTTAACAAATCAGAAAGTGTATGACTCTTCTTAGAATATTAAGAACCGCTCTAATACTATGACTAAGTTATCTTCCCAAAATCTTAAACTCTAGAAAGAAATGCAAAAAACTGGGAGAGCTTTATTTACATATCTCACTACCCAGAACTTACAACTACTACTCAGTTAAATGGCTAATGCTCAACAGTTGTTTCCTGATTATTTATCATTCTGTTCCAAGAAGATGGCTAAGTGAAGGCTTCCACTTTAAAGCAGAGAGAGGCTATATAAAATGAAAGCACCACCATTGTGAAGACTTCCTCACAAGGCCAAAAACATGAGATTGCTGGAGGTGTATAACCATTTTCTAATTGCTAATAATTTAGGAAACAACTTTCTTGCCTTAAAAACATTATCTTTAATTATGGGCTTTACAACTAGGCAGAATATCTTCTCAATGCTCAAAGAATCCTAGAATGCCAGATTTGTAAGAGGTCTTTGAGGTTATCTAGTTCCACTCTCTCATTTTACGCATGCATACTATTTGTCTTTCTAAAGGAGAAGATGTGCTTTTGACCCGAGTCACAGTGTTCCCTGATTCTAGGCTGACTCCTGATTACTCAAAGTGGTTAGATTTTGACTAAGGCTGGTCCAAAGGTCTGGAGAGCTGGAAGTTCAGGGTCACTATATAAAGCAGACTTAAGGTATAAGTAGGAAGTACCTGCAGTCACTTCCCATGTTTGCTCTTGTGTCAGAGAGATTTCTGTAAGTTAGAACCTGCACATAATACTAAATAATAAAAAATAACCAAGTACTTAGTGCCTAGCAGAGGGCTTTGCACACTGCAGGTGTTCAATAAAAGTTTACTGAATAAGCATACTAAGGCAGGAGTAGAGGAGGGGGCATACCCCAACTGAAAATGAGGGAGGCAAGCTTAACCAAGAATTAAAGTGAACAAATTGTAGAGAAGTGGTACGAATACCTATGAATTACAATGAATCATTACTGGCTTAGAAAGACTATGTAAGTTAGAGTAGGATATGACCTTTCAGGAAATTGACCAATGGGCAGGTTGCCCAATTAGATACAATTCATTAACTTTCCTTCAAAGGAGACTATCAACAAATGTCTTAAACTCCACATTTTACCGCTCTAAGTTTCAAAAGGTACATTTTCCTGGTCAACTAATATTTCTTATTCTCAGTAAGAGCTCAACTACCCATCTCATTTCTTAATGACTTCCTCAAGTTTACCTCATCCTCATTTAATTAACATAATGATACCAAATCTCCCCTCCAAAGAATGGTCTATAGAGAAATTGTGGAATCCCTCCCAGTGAGGAAAAAAAAAGACAAAACCCCAAGTAAGTTAGTAAATTGAGCCAACTTAGACTCACTAAGCCAACCATTACCTGGTCTAGTCCCATTAATAAAGAGTATTTGATATGGTAGAATTCAAGTGTGTTTTCTTGCCCAAGCTATAGTCCTTCAAATCCTTCTAACATATTGCTCCTTATGCCTTCAACAGCAAACAATGATGCCTCCTCTCCAATTATAAATCATCTACTTCTATCTAATACTGTTGTTACATCTATATAGAAATGTGGAAAGACTCTGATTGCATGGTATAGTGCCAGAGAGTTCACCTTCAAGCATACAAGTATTACTGGGCAAAAGAGATGCCCCTCTCCAAGGCACTAAAGTGGTACCTTACCTTACAAGTAAACAATAGTATTCAGTGCAGGCCTTTGTTACTGAAGATACATTTTACTATATCGCTACTAATTTAATTAAATATGGGGTCTCCCTATTCACTTCTACAAAATCTGGACAATCTCAGCATATGACAAGTTATAGATGCTAACCTGCAAAGGAAACACAGGCCTAATACCCTAAGACATGTGACTAAACTTCTTTTTTGTATTATCAGGAGATTTATGTTTGTGTCTGTTTTGTTTCATAGAAAAACTGTTCAATTCTTAACTGATTGGTTTCTTCACAACTAATAAGAGGGGAGATTGACTTCATTCTAAGAATATGGTGGGAATCCTAGAAAAATTTGTGATAATTCAACAAAGGTACAAAAACTTATTAGAATAAATGTTCTAAGTAATTTCTTGTCAAAGGTGATCACAGCAATAATTCAGTCGCACAGCCTGAGTGTGCTAAAAATACTTCTCTCATTGAAGAATTTATGTATTCCACCTAGTATTGCCTCACACTAGAAAGAAGCCTCCTTTCAGCTATAAAGAAGAAAAGAGTTAAGAACTAAACTGAAAGCAGCCCCAAACAATACCTTACTTCTTTTTTCACTTAAACAAGCTCACCAATTTTAAAAGGTATCGAATGCTCATTACAAGTTCAAAGGTGAAAATACAGGGATGAATGAAAAGGAATCTCAGATTTGGGCCACATTGCAGTGAATATCTATCTTTTTGTCCCAATGCAGTCACACAACCAAACTTCAACTATGGAGAAGTACAGAGGAACCACCACATTAATTACTAACAGAATTACTGTTTATTATCATTTGATCATTCAGAGCCCTGTCTTCTGCAGTCCCAGCTTTAACAAATGTAACTGAAACTAACTTGCCCTAGAATGAAAACAAAAGCCACTCTGGAGGAAGCCATTCAGAAAATCCTAGCCTACAACATAACAACAATAAAATGGAGCAATTACTACCTACTAAAGGATCAGCTATAAAAGAACGGCTATTTCTTCCAAGAAGCCTCAATCTTTCTTTTCGTAACAGGTAAACAAACTACCTAATGATCTCAGAAGTAGAAGGGTCTGAAGAGAAGTTCTCTTAAGGCTCCTCTAAAACAAAGCCATCTGGCTGAGGCTTCCAGAAAGCAGAAATTTTAAAGTGAACCAATATGCCCTTGATAATACCCAGGATCTCAGATAGAGGCCTATATGAGAATCCATTATCACTTATTTTCAGGGCAGGAAAAAGATGATAGAAAAAAATGAGCTGAAAGTCTCCAATAGCTGGACTAAAATAAGGCCAATCAAACCATCAAAAACCATTCAGCAAGTCTTTCTGTCTCTGCCATCCAGAAATTTAGTGTTCTTTAATGTTCCCTGTGCTTCTTCCCTTAGGAGAGGAATGGAGAACCTCTGATTCACAGGCTAGATCCAGTCTTCAGTTCAGTTTCATCCAGTCCAGGGGTGTGCTTTTACCTGGGCCACTACAACTGTGCCAGGAAATAAATTTCCTCAGGTCCTACTATGACTAGCCCATTCAAAACAGTGCTCCTAAACCTCTAAGGATAAATACCAGCTACAGAGTTGTAAAGAGGGATTAAGCTAATCCTCTAACTGACATTCCAAAACACAATAACTAGGCAATAATTCTCATAATCATCAACCCAAGTGAAAAGCAAGATGTGACAAAACTAATTTAAATACTTTAGAACTTCTCTCTACTTCTGTAAATCTCCTCCTTTTACACATTTTTTCACTCTCCCCCCTTTCTCCTTCCTCTATCAATATGTAGACCTGACAAACATTATTACCTATGTTGTATTTAAGCCACTGTTCCTTGCTCTTAATTTTAAAAACTGGATTTTAATATTTTATATGTCTCTTTAAAAAAAGCCCACTCCTATATAACTAACCTGATTTGTAGTTTAGTTTTCTTCTCTTACATCCCCTTTGCTAATTTTTTCTGAGTCAACGTCCCTGAACAGAAAAAATTTCCAGACACCTGTTTAAAGGAAAAGTCCTAAGTGGCTATCCTCATAGGTTTGATGACAGGAAGAATGAGGAGCAAGGTCGGGAAAGAAGAACCTGAGGCATCTACAACAAGCTACATCTGGGTCTCCAGAGCTGGCTGGTTGAGGTGGTTTTCTGTTGGCTTTTTCCATTAACAAAGAATAATAAAATCATTCACTGACCTCCATAGCCAAGAGGCAGAAAATACATTGTGTCTAAATGCCAATGTCTCTGACAGGTATCAGTTCTACAAGAACCTACCACAGAAATCCTAAAGTATACACATGTTTCTTTATAGTTACTAAGAAAAAGAGGCTCACTAAGACACTAGAATACTAAGGAAAAGTATGACAAAGGGTATTTATGGAATTTAGAATAATTCTGAAAAAAATCCACTTGTGATTTATATTTTGTCCCATTGACTTGACAGAGGGAAATAAGTTATGAGAGCCTGCACACTGCTGAAGTAGTCAGAGATAAAGAAATACAATGTGCAACCATTTGAGATTGGCTAGGAAAGTTGACAGATTTCTATAGAATGCTTCATTTCACAGGAGATGTTTTTCTTTGTGTTTAAAGTCTGTTTTTACTACTTCCAAAGTATAAACCTTATCGAAACATGAAAACCCTACTCAACACCAAAAAGTCTCTTGTAGGAAGACTACAACAACAAAAGCACTACACGACAAACTGATAGTGTTTACAAAGTTGCAGGATGAATAATGAAGGAAAATCTATAGCATCTTCAATACTTTTAGGAAAATAAAAGTAGCTTACTTTACTCACAAAGATAACAAATTCAAAATACTGGTCTCATTGACTGTACCTGTTTATTGTCTTGTTCACTTATTTTCTGGTTATTTTCAGTAGGCAAATTTCTCTGTTTCGCCTAAAACACAGAAATATTTAAGTTGTAAAAGAGAATTAAGGATATTGACTTCAAGCATATTTATAATAACTCTTGACCCAAGTTGAGTTTTGAATGTATAAAATAATAATAAACACCTAAAACAGGAAAATTACTTAGGCCTATGCATCAGTCTTCTTAAATTCAAATATTTCCACTTCACTATCACATGGATATATACCATAATTTAACCCCCACAGAACGATGCTGGATGGTTAAGTTAGAGAGATAGCTAGGAAAGAGAGAATGAACAACCTATATCTGTGAAGTTCTGTAAAAACAATTTCAAAAGAATTAAAATTTGGCAAGATAGTAAGAGAGGTGTTCTAAAAGACATACTAGTTAGCAGTTACTCCAAGTAGAGATCTAGCCACCATCTTGCTCATTTTATGAAGGAAAATATCAATATTGAAACTATAGAGTCTATAAAAATATAGTACTCATGCATAAAATTATATGCCTAGAACCAAGTGTTTTGCCATAAAAATGAACATTTAAGTGGAACAGTACTTTACAGAGAATTCTGCCATCCTATTTTTTATCTTTTATCTGGTCTGGTATGCCTGAAGAGCAGACCTGTATTCTCCTTCCTCCTCAAACCCAAGAAAAAAGCATGAATAGTAACTGATGAGCAGCCATATCATTAAATTTTGTGCTGTGTTTTGGTTTGCTTCTAGTGTCTCTCCCTGTTAACTAATGTTATTTTTGTGCATTCCACCCCCCTCCCCATTTGCTTCTTCCTTTCCTAGTTTTGTAAAATGGATGTATGCAAAGGTGTATGTTCCTCGTCTACCTCCATCCACTCAGGATAGTGGTGGAGTAGGTGGAAAAGTGGATTGGGCTTGGTGAGACCTTTGGTCTTTCTGTACAGTTGGATTTATAAACTGACTTGAAAAAAAATAAGAAGCAGATTCAGATCATGCTAGTTTTTATTACTAAACAAGCTCTACATCCTCTATAAGCACACAATAGTGTATTCATTGGAAGATGATTCAATAGCCGTACTAACAATTTTGTTAACATTATCATTCATTCCCTTCATCAACATGGAGAAAATATCCTGGGTTGATTTTTTTTAAAATCTATTTCTGCATCAACCTCTCATGAGTACTGTGTATAGAGCAATGAAGTCATTCTACTTAAGCTTCTTGTATTTATTCATTCATTATAAAATGCTTACAATCTATAAGGCAGTACATGAGAGGTGGCAGAGAGGAGTAACTAAGTGCTGGACTTGGAATGAGTCAGGCCTCAGTACTGGAAGGGACTACATAGTGCAGTTGGAGTCATGGGATCTGAGTATGGATTCCTGCCCTGACACTAGCTACCTTATGTGACCTGAGCAAGCTACTTTACTTCTAGGGTCTAAGTTTCCTCATATGTAAAATGAGGAAGTTGACCTAGATGACCTCTCAAGTCCCTTCCAGCTCCAGATCAATAATTCTTTGAATCCCACTGCTAATATTTAATAGCTGTGTAATGCTTGGAATGTCATAAAATGTCTCTAGGCCTCTGTTCCATCATCTATAAAATGGAGATAACACCTTTAGTATCTATCTATATAAATGTCAAATATATATGGCAGAGTCTGTGAAATATTTATCTTTGTACCCCCAATACCTAGCATTGTAACTTATACATAGTAAATAAATATTGACTGAACTGATTTGAAAGCACCACACTAAACATTGAAGGACACAGACACTCATGGACACACATGGACACACAGATAGATACATGCACACACACGTTCATGTAGGACATATAGTCAGGGGAAAAAACAATGTGTTGGTAGAGAGGATGGGGTTTCCAAAGATTCAGGAATTTGTGCAGTTGTACTTGTGCAATAGTCAGAAATAAAGTCCAATAGTGCCACTGACTCCTACTATTCAGGTTTAAATAAAGATGGTGACCAATTCGAACAGCTGAAAATTCTTTCTCAAATCTATTAATCTGATTCTCCCATCATATGCCAAATTATGAACTAATTAATGATTATTCTTTTTTTTAATAATGATTATCTAAGTGACTAAGAATAGCTAAGAGTATTCTAAATTATACTCTTTCCACACATGTTCCTAAAATCTCCTAGCTAAAGAAAAAGCAGAGCTCATCTTTGTAACTGATAGCAAACTATATGTTTTAATTTCTCTTCTGTGGGAAAAGTTGACATTAATTGAACAGAAACAAAACAAGGGACAGTGAGGGGTCATCATGAGGTTCTATTCCCTTAAATCTTATCATTACATGGCAAAACTGTAACTGTTGGTTCTTTAAAAACTGAATTAATTTTTATGGAAATTCTGAAACTCCAGTTTTCATCGGAGTATTCTTGAGTAGCAAAGGTTTTCAAGAATGTAAGAAAAACAATTTTAGCTACAATTTTTTTCCAAGATGGCAGGTAGAACTCATCTCAAAATGACTGGGACTGGATGTCACTTAGAACATCATTCTTTGTTTTTTTTTGTTTTTGTTTTTTTTTGGTTAGGCAATGGGGTTAAATCACTCACCCAGGGGTCACACAGCTAGTAAGTGTTATGTGTTTGAGGCCGGATTTAAACTCAGGTCCTCCTGAATCCAGGGCCAGTGCTCTATCCACTGTACCACCTAGCTGCCCCTACAACATTATTCTTATAGTAAGTAGCTATTATAAATTTACTTCTACTATCCTCTAAAAATGACCTCAAAAATGATATAAAATTTTATCACCAAAATGATGTTTTAGCTACATTAAACCAAAATATTTCTTCAGGCACTACCTAAAAAGACCCTTATTCTTATTTTCACGGCTTTTAATATCATGACTATTGGCCATATCTTTTATTATCAGCACACTAGATTTAAATTTCTTAACTCTACCTAAGGTAAGGCTAACTAGCTAGCAATAGTAACTAGCTAGCAATAGTAACTAATTAGTACTATACCTATTTCCTCACCAAATCTCTCTGACTTTGGAGAATTGAGAAAGTAGGAAAATACATTTAACCTTGCTGAACAAATGGGCTAGGATAGAATTTCCAAGTTACTTCCAATCATAAAAAGTAATACTTTAAAATCTTCAATGGACTTTTAGTTGGGTACACTTAGTAATCTTTTTCAGTCATTTAAATGGTAGTTCTGTCTTCTATGATTGAAAAAGATCATTAACATTTGCCCTAAATCACAAATAGTAAATAAACTAATCTGAAATAAGCTATAAAAATACTCACACTCTTAAGTGCTCAGTGAAGCAGCTCTGAATAGGATTTATAATTAAAGTTTACAGTTGTGTTACTGTTTAGGTGAGACAATTGTACATGTTTAATTAACATTAGTTCTATGAGAATAGTCTTACACTGTTTCTAACAAGCATCACCACTGCATACACTGTGACATGCAGGTATCTCAAAAACCATTACGCAGCAGATATTATATCTATTTCTCTCCTTTTAAATAGGAAAAAAATAGGAATTCAGGTATGAAACTTTTCATATAACAGAATATCTCCTCTCCCCTCTTCCAAAAAAAAAAAAGGTCAACTAAAATTTACTAACTTTCAGCTGCTTGTATGACTCATGTCACAAGCAATATTTTCCAAAGCTAAATCATACATGTACTGTGGTAACATGAGTAAAATTTTGTTTTTATTATATGTGCAGCCTTAACTATTTTTCAAGACTTTGTACATTTTTTCCTTAATAGTAGTACTATAGGAAAATACTAATTATACATTTTGCAGGAGAATGCAGATATAGAGTAGAATCTTGAACATCTGGACCCTGTTACTTAGATAGATCTCTAAATGACTGAGACCATTCTGAGGACTGGAAGAAAAGACTGTTAACAGATGGGTTGAGAGTAAATAGCTATTGTATAGAGACAATACAAGGATGTAAATGTGCAATAAAACCAAGAGTCTTAGTATGGGGGTTCTTGACTTGAAGTCCATAAACTTTTTCTTTCTTTCTTAAAAAATATTTTGATAACTGTATTTTAATTTAACTGGTTTTCTTTGTAACCCTCTGCATTTTATTTTATACACTTGAGAACATTATTCTGAGAGGGGGTTTAGAGGCCTCATCAGACTGCCAAAGGAGTCCATAATATAAAAAATTAAGAACCTCAGGATACTATAATAAATCCCTTGCTCAGTAACATAAAATAGACCTTGGAAATAAGCAGAGTAACTTCTATGAAGAACAGCACGCAATCCTAGTGTCTCTCAGGGACCCAATTATAGAGGACCACAACTCAAAACTATACAAAGACAGGTTATCTGACCTGAGGTCAAATGCTCATCTATACCATTATCTTTTCAAGTTTATCACTGATATAAATGAGTTTATTGTATTAATTTAAGGGACATTTCAGTACTTATATATGAAACTGTTTCTAAAAGCAAATTTCAATTTTTATTTTGAAAAGCTGTGTAGGGTCCCAAGGCTAAACTTTTTTATCACCACCACCAAGACTTACTTGAACACCAACAGACTGAAATCAAGTTTGATTACTTTGAAAGTTATCAATGGAAGCCATTATTATAAGTAAAAAATAAAAAGTAGCAAACATGTCTTCTGCACTTATTGTCAGCGTTCTTTTTATTGACATACCTGATCCTCTCGTTCAAAACCTGGTGCTTTTGGATAGTTAGAAGTTGGTGAAGAAACGCCTGATGTGGTAGATTCTGAACATAAACCACCATTTGCTAATGATCTTTGCCTACAAAGGGGTCCAATAGGAGACAAGGAACTACTGCTACCAGAGCTTGATGTTACTGTTGGACTATTGGAACAGGAGATCTAAGGAAGAATACAAAAAACACATAATGTATCTGCCCAGGCCTTCCCCACTCAACTAAAGTTCTGTAAAACATGGCGCTCACTGTAAATTTAAAAAAAAAATGTCATGCATAGGTTAGGTTTTATATGTACAAGACATGAACTCAAGAGGCAAGGTTCTCACAACATACAGGAAAAGTGCCTTACAAATGTGGCCAAATTGTTTTCTATTATATAATTTAATTTTCTTATGCAATTAATATCTATTCAGAGTTTTTCTGTCTGGTTATATAGATGAGAATAATAGCACAAATTAATTCCTTTTCGGGGGGTTTCTGTCAATATTTTCATCACTTAAGACTTGTTTCAAGAAAAAAGTTAAACCATTCACATTTTCATCTCAAAACTCTACTTACTGCTCTTCCCTTAACCCTCCTCAGAATAATGTAATACCTTGTGCTTTATTTGTAACACGGCAGAACAAGGAACATAACTGCTATTCCAAAAGATCACGTTCTCTATAAAAATATTTCTCAAAAGTGTATGCCTGAAGGACTGTAATCCCAACTGAAGAGCGCACGTTTAAAAAGTGTGGAAGTTAATTATTTCTAATAATCATGGGCCATACATATTCCCTTTTTTAAAAAAGAAACTGTAATTACTTAGACATTTTAGAGGACTATTCAAAACACTTAATACTGAATGGATAACTTCTGTTTTTAAAATTGTCTTGAGTTGTAAGAAGTCTCAGTTCGGCTAGCTGGGAGATAAGAAAAAAATAGGAGAGAGAGAAAATGAACAGGCTACATTTACATTTTCAATGCAATTTTTAAAATGGGATATTTAAAGGATAAAATAAAACTTAAAACTCTTAAATACCATAAATGTAGGGTTATTACACTCTAGCATCATCAGAACAGTAACACAACTCTAAATCAAATAGAAATTTAGCATTCTAAGCATAAAGATTATTTTTCTGCAACTTAAGACTTCAAAACTAAGTTTTCATTACCCTTTCAGGCCCTACAAGATCTGCCTCATATAAAAATTATAAGATCTTTTCAATAAGAAATCACAGCAACTAATCACATAGTATTTTTTGGTAGTTACTAGAATAATAGATTATGAGAATGCCAAAGGTATAGTATATCTGCGGCGTGCCTTACTGAAAACTGAAATCTCTCATGAGCTCTCATGGGCTGGCTGAGAATATGGTTACATTAATTTATAAGAAGTGGAAAAACTAGATCTAGTTAACAGATCCTTGTCAACTTGTGAGGACTCTATACTCAAGCCTGTCCTATTCAACATTTTTATTAACTATATGCATGAAGACACAAAGGGTATGCCAGTGAAACAAAGCTGAGACGGACAACTAATAGGATAGGTGACAGAATCAAGATTAATAATTAGTGCAGTAGGTTGAAAAGATGGGCTAAAAACAGTAACATGAAATTCTTGAAGGGGCAAGTGGTAAAGTTCTAAAATCAGGTTCCAAAAAAATCAATTACATAAGTACAGTTATGTATTACTATGCTAATAGTAATTAAGACAGGAATGTTACTGAAGTGATTCTTGTACTAGGTAGAAGGAAAATTAGAATAGATTCCTTCAGTCTTTTTTCTAACTATAAGAGTCTATGTTTCCAATAGTAGACCTAAAATTAAAGCAGTAAAATAAATGTGGATATAATATTGATTCATGAGGATACAAAGAGAAATGGATTCTAGTTTACTGAATTTTCTGGCTAAAAGAGTCAAGCAGAGGACACTTTTTGTTTCAATTCAGGCATTTTAAAAAGATTTTTCAGTCCTAATAGTGTATCTTACTGCCTTAGTTATTGCCACAGTATACTAAATCCAACTGAATCTTCCTTTGATGGCAAATGACCTTACAATGTCTAAGGACTGGAAATGAGAAAGCACAAAAATGATATACAAATTTAGTGTACTGAATTTCCAACTGACTTAATAAATTTAACAAGCATTTGTTAAGGGTTTGCTGTGCATCATAATGCTGTGATAGGCACTGAATCTTTAAGACAGTAAGTTAAAATTTCAGGTGAGCTAGAAAATTGTGAATATACAGAACATGTAGAAATAAAGAAAATGGTGAAAATGTTCAGCAAAGAATAACTAAAATAATATATTCATTATAACAATGTAAAAAGAAAAATATATAAACAAATATAAAAGTGAATGGACAAACAAACTAGAAGGGGGAAGAGAAGAAGCAATTGGAAAGTTGTTATAAATATTTTTGTCTACTGCAATTCTTTTTAAAAAGTTAAACAATTCTGAAGACATTAGATTGGTCTTGCTTCTGATGTTTACAAATAATTTGTAAAAATAAATTAGTAACAAAAATGAAATATTATAATTACAACTCTCAATATCCACTGTAACACTGCATATATAGGAGGTTAGACCAGGTTAGAAATAACTGCATTAACTACAGATTAGATGTTGATTTTTAAGATTAAAAAACCATCACATGGCACTTTTGCTTTTCACAAATGACAGGAAATAAATTAATTGGAGGTTCTGACTAACTGAACTTCAGCTAATCAAAAAAATTAATGATAGATTTTATTTATCTTAAAACAACTTCACCCTCACTTAAGAAAAAAGCATTTAAAAAGTCAAAAATGAGGGAAAATAAACCAGGACTGTTTAGATCTTCTTTTATATAGCAACTATAAAATAGTATTAACTTTTGAAGTTTAATATCTTTTTGGACTTCTCATGTAGCATAGTCAAGTTTAATTATGCTGGTAAAGACAGTTGCTAATACCCTATTTCTTTTCTTATAAAGACAGACTATCAAATCCATTTCAAGTGTTACCCACCATACAGCTGAACTGAAGATGATAAAAAGCAAGGGGTGTGTTTTTAATCAATTTTTTTTATTAATTTTGAAAGAGACTAATTTTAAGTTGAAAAGAAATTAGTATTTATATCAGCAAGTGGCATAACTATGATTAGTTCTTCAAATTACTTTCAGTTAGTGTTAAGAAAATCCATTGCAATTTTAAGTTACTTTCCCCTCAGAAAATTTAAGTTATGATGAAAGGGATTCAATGTTGATCCTACTACCTTGGCATATATCAAGCACTTAATAAGTATTTTTTGAATTTAATTTATTGAGCTGATTCATGAATTAACTGGCCAACAACCTTTTCTTGCTGAAATATTGTGGAATTTTGCATATCTGAACCCTGCCACATAAGGATCTCAAAATGACTGGAATTATTCTGAAGACTGGAAGGAAAGCCAATAGATGGGTAACAGAACTGACACAGAGGCAAAGATGGCATGCATAAGATACATGCTGACATGATGAGCTCTGAATTAGGAGAGTGAGGGAAAGAAGTCCTAGAACTTTCAGCCAAAGTAGAAGTGAAGGCAAAAGCTAAAAGAGAAACCTAAAAGATTTCAATCTATCCAGATCCCTCCCAAACCCAAATGATCTACATATTACTGCAGACTCTCCTTTACTATATATCAGCTGATGTTCACTTCGTAGATGATTATTACAGCTACTTTAAAAGAATGACACATTGAAAGAGGATAACTATTTTGTTTGGGGTATGGATTTTTGCCCACATTTTAAAGTCAACCTCCAACATACAAACAATTTAATTCATTATTAAAATTGATTTTCACAAATGAAATCTGTGAGTGAAACTAGACATAAATAAGTAAAATCAAAATTAAATAATACAGAAAAGCACCATGCACAAATTTTTCTTATACTCTCCTCTCACTCCTTCCCACCAAATACAGACAGCAAATATTATCCATCATCTTTGAAAACATTTAGGACCTAGTTAAGGTACATAGAAACACCTGAGAATACCTGAAGAACAAGATACCTGCTGTTTCAATTGTGCCTGCATGAAATGAAAATAGGTGCTCTGAATTTTTAGTCACTAAGGATAGGATGTGACCATCATCATCCTCTACTCAATAGCTGAAACAATTGATAGATTGTTCTGTTCATACATATTATATATGTATGTATCTATCTACATACATATGTATTTCTATCACCTCATTTCATTTGTTAACCAAACTTAGCCCTCTCAGCTATGTGTATGCATAAAAAAACAAAATAGTTACCTCTGACAATCAGTATATATACATATATCTTTCCTATAAGGAGTATGTAATGATCATACATGAATTGGGCGCGAGCTGATTTACAAAGCAGAGCCTGGAAAGTGTGCATGAAAGAGAGAGAGAGAGAGAGAGGTGAGCAGACTAAGTCTGGCTAATAATGATAATTAGAAAATAGAACAATTAAGATTGAGTAGGCTCAGTAGGTTGGGTAGGATATTGGAAGCTGAAAAAACTGTTCCTTTATCATGTACCAACAACTAGTTCTGTCTAAGACTTCTTCCCTCTTCTGGTAACCAGGACCAGAGTTGTGAGAGGGTAGGATGCAGGTTAGAGACAATCCAGTTGCAACAATTCTTCCACTCCCTGGTTCCTTATGACCACTTAAGAGGGAAGTACAAGGAGACTTCTAAGCATCTGTTTTTTGAGGCTGCCCAACTGCTAGGTCCAAGGCCAAATACATGTATATAAACTGGGATGAGACTAAAGAAGAATGGTTTGTACCAGGAAGATATTTTCCTAGGATCATACCAAGCCATGCACATAGCATATACGTACATGTATGTTTGTATGTATGCAAGCACACCCGTGTCATGTATATGTATAGACAAACACATAAATATATGTTCTTCTCTATTTTTCACATATTAAAACAAAAGATCAAGTCAGTTGAAATTCTACTAGTTGCAGAAAACACATCCAGAAGTACTTACATTTCCAGGCTGCCCATTATTACTTGTAATGTTGTTCGTGGCATTTGGATCATGGCAGTTCCAGTCATTTGTGATTCCTATACTCTCTGCTGTGAACATGTGAGCACCAGGCTTTGACTGACCACTGTTCTGTATCATAACCACATTCATGGTATCCTCTGTTGAAGGAAATTCCAATAAATCAAGTAGTAAGATAGTATGTCTCACCATTTAAACAACATTTTTCTAAACAATGCCACAGACAGGGAACAAAAATATCTAGCACAGATAAACAACCTCTTCAAGAATATTTTTATCTTTTTCCTATTAAAAAAGGTAACAAAAATATTTAAGAACCAGAATCCATGATTTCTGTAGATTCACGGTCTTTAATTACAACATACAGTATATCTAAAAATATAAGCATACTTTCTGCTAAGATGAAAACAGGACAATGTTGGGTCTGATTCTGAAATTTCAAAATTACAGCTCCTCCAAAACTAGGACTAAAAAGAAAAGAAAATTCCTACCACCATAATGGCCATGCTAACCTTCATGCTAGCATTGGTCTATAGAACTAATCTGTTTTCAATGCTAGCAACAGTCTAATAAACTCATCTGTTTTCAACAGCAACATCTGAGGGGAAAAAAAGTCTATTCATTATTTCTATACAATGCAGATGGCCAAGTGCTAGCATCAATGTGTGTGTATCACATATTAAAATAACATACAATTATTTTTTTTTCTACTTATTTGGGTAATTAGGATGATTTAAAGTCTTACATAATTAAGCTAAGAGGAAGCTAATTATAACATTTGCTAAAAGCATGCTGGCAGCACATGGTAGTAGTGCACACATGCCTGCAGTCCCTCTTCTGAGGCAGGTTATCTTGAGATGGAGAGTTCCATGCTGCAGCAGGGTTAATGCCAACCAAGTATCTGCACTAAGTTCAGCACCAATATACTGAATCCACAGTAGTAAAGAGCCACCAATCTGCCTAAGCCAAGGGTGAACTAGCCCAAGTGCCATGCTGATTAGTACTGGGATAGTGCCCATAAGTGGTTGCTGCACTTCCAGCCTGAGTGAGATAAGGAGACTCAACCTCAAAAAAAAAAAACCCCAACAATAATAATAATTTAAAAAAAACAAACAAACAAAAGCATTCTGGCTTACTATGGTTTCATGATGATAACACCATCATAATTTAGCAGCTGCAGCAAACAAAATGAGACGTTCTAAGTTACAACTTTTATTATTTGGCAAGCTCTAGCCTACAGTTATATTGATCTTTTACTGATCTTATACTGTTACTGAAATATTAGAACCATAAGGAATAAGAAATTCTTTACTCCCAAATGAAAAAATCCCTCAAACTTAAATTCAGTAGCTTTTTTGTTATTTATAGATTTTTGTGGACTCTGGTATCAAATGTGACAACATTACTGAAAAGTTTTCTGAGAATGCAAATGTTTATTAGATTGCCATTAAGTCCTCCCCATAAAAAGGTGAATCAAAAATTGTCTTCACTCTCTAGCTCAGTAAGTCAACCTGGGGTTTTAAGCAATCTCTTTATCGGCTTAAGGAGTCCTTTTTATTTTATTATCTGCAAAGGGCAAAAAGATGGTTATAGAGTAAATCATCCAGGCAGCACACAATGGTCACCACACAAAAGAGACAAAGTGAAGGTTATCCAGAAACCTAGCCCTATATCCAAGGGAGTAGGAGATAGCACAGTAGGAATGAGGGTAGATAGATGATGGATGAAAGGGGCCCACCCAAACCAAAGAGGCTCAGACGAGCCCTGGGAGTGATCTGGAGGATTTCCAAGTAGCTGTGTGTGTCAGGGAGTTCATTCTCATACTGCTGTGGGAACTACACTTAACTCTAAAGATTATCCTAGAACTGATCCATTTTTGAGTGTAGAATATAGGGGTGGTAACCAACTCAAATCACATATATGTGACAAAGTCGGGCCACAGCTTCACTCTCCTAAGACCAGCATATGCCTTTCGGAATGAACCAAGTTATCTGACTGAATCTTAACAATCTTATTGTATTTCCTCAGAATGACTAGAGATGCATTTTCAACAACCTTCTTTGCTATGGCTCTCATGGGATGTACTTTATAAAAAATAAATGGCAAAGAGAACTTTCTCAAAATAGTTTGGAACTAAGAAAATAAAAGTTATATATAGTTAATTTTAAAATACTGGCTTATGATTTTATAAGTATAGGGAACTCCCTGATGAGAAAATTTCTTCCACCAATACAGATAAGGCACTGCGTTCTACACAGTCTGACAGAGAGCTGTATTCGGCACTGAGAGATTAAGTGAGCTGCCTGAGGTCACACAGCCAGTATGGGTCAGCTATTGGCCTCTAACCTATGTCTTCTTTATGCCAAGCCAGTTATCAGCTTTGCCAGGCTGCTCTTCAACTAACAAAGAGATAAAACATCTTTTAAAGTCAAGGGGAAGTTAACATTAATTTTTCCACTAAAATTTGAGAGGTATTATTCCTGCTATATTTGAAACCACTGGGCAAAAATTGCATAATCTTGATTAAGATTAAAAATTCTAGTTTTTGCTTACTTACTTTCAACATGTGCAAAAGCACAAAATGGACCCCGAGGGCAGTACCCAGTTTGTCGCATATCATTGCACTTTGTAGATTTATAAATCTAGGGGAAAAAAATTGAATACATTTGATCAGTTCACTAAATAAAGTACAGAATAACATTTCTTAGAAATAATTTTATGAAAAACAATCTTTAAATGCAATATAGTCTACATCAGGGGTGGGGAACCTGTAGCCTCAAGGCCACAAGTGGCCCTCTTGGTTCTCAAGTGCAGCCCTTTAACTGAATCCAACTTGGACTCAGTCAAAAGGATGCACACAAAGACCTAGAAGGCCACATGTGGCCTTGAGGCTGCAGGTTCCCCACCCCTGGTCTATATTATGTTATTACTATGCTTCTGAAATTCTCTTCTTCATAGTACCACAGTTTTATTTTCTTTTTTAAAAAATAATTTTAATTTTGCTGCCTTCAGTTTCTCCCCAACAACATATGCAAATATCATCTGCTTAGTCAAATGTCTTCCATATATTTGCAACTCAAGATCTATATCAAACTATTCTGCTTAGCAAGAATAAATATTCACTTAAATATTTTTGTCAGATTAATGACCTTTAAGATGAAAATTGCTTATTAACATATCTGAAATATAGATAAGTCAAAGGAAAAGGTAACCACAATTCTAATAGCAGTATTATTTTTGGCTCAACAATCTACTGTGTTGTGAAGTCCAGTGAATGATCCATAGCTTTTATTTAAGCTATAATCCTTGGGCTTTTTTATAGCAATATATGATATAATGGTAAAACTCTCATTTGGTAAAAAGATTTCAACCATAAATTCTCTCATGATAAATATTAAATTATAACAATATGTAGCCTTTCTCACTGCCAAATGAATGCTGCTACAGGTTATGCAGCAAACTTGACAAGCCAAGTTTCTCAATACCTGGTCAGATTTTAACATCCATTCCACCTTTAAATACTCTCTGTAGTATGGTCTCAAAAACTTACATCTTTAAAGCTGCAAGGGATCTTTAGTTCATCTATTCCAACTCTTCCTCCCTCTACCAAGAGGAAGCTGAGTCTTGGAGTTGTCAAGTGGATTGCCAAAGTCACCCATATAGCAAGGGAAAAGGTGAAATGTCATAATTCCAGGCCATAATTCCAAATCCATTACGCTTCTCATTGTACTTTTCCAACTTCTCAAGTACTTGCACAATAAGTCTAACTCTTCTGGTTCCGTCATACACAGTAAGATTCACTTGCAAGGTTGTTTTCTGCCCATAATCAACATTCACGGACCAGAGTCAATCAATCAATGAACAATCCTTTACTTATCACTTACTACATGTTAAACATGGTAGTAGGGATACAAAGAAATCCTCACCCTCCATCTCCTCAAAATATTTATCCCTAGCAAAAAACATAAAATCAAAGTAGAGAGCAAACAGCCTGTACTATAGGACCAGAAGTCATAATTCTGTTAGCACCATTCACTGATTAACTTACTCCTTCTTGTTTTTGCTGACCAACTAGATCTTACATTCTATTCTCCAAAATTTATAATGCTCACTTTTTTCTCTCCTTACTAACTGAAATACTGGACTTAACCCCTTTTCTGATTGGAGGTGTGGCTTCTATAAAACCTATCTTCCTTCATTAGGCTTCCGGTCCTGGCCTGCCTGTTGTCTTCTGCCATATGCAACATGATAGCAAGGAATTCCTCATCTATCAGCATAATTGTTTCATCTCTATCCCCAAGTACAGACAACTAGCACTGAGTCATTATTAAGCAATGCTGAAATACAATTATTTTTGTTTATGGTGAAACAGGTATGGTTTTCAATATCTTGCTGAATAGTCTTTGGAAGTTTGCTCTGGCTTCACCTTCCCTTCTTCATAGTCACAGGATCAAAAGTCTGGGCTGGAAGGGACGCTGGAGGCCATAACTAACCAGTGCAACCAATATGTGGTCTTTCACTCTTGTCATTATGTTCTATGGCTCCTCATGCCTCGACAGATTCCAAACCTAGGTTAAAATCATCACTTGGCTTTTCTGTTCCAATTCTCATCTTAAGAATATTAAAGAGTCAGACAACCACGCCAACTGGATCCACTACAAATTTGTTTTACCTAATCTGACTGTTAAATGGAAATCTTTTTATTCTTCCCTGACAACCACCTTCCTTACAATAAACCTTCTAAACATTCTCTTCTTCAAGTGTCTAATGCTGTCTCTCTTTACACAAAGGACTTATCTTCTACTTTATTGAGAAAATCAAGGCCAAGTGCCATAAACTCCTTCTTCCCTATACCATGGTTCAACATTGTTGTCCCTTATTTTCTTCTTCTTTGCATCAGTCTCCAAGGCAGAAAAGGCCTTCCTTCTTCCTTGCTAGGGTCAACCCAACTACTTGTTCCTTTAATCCAATCTCTTCCTATCTTTCCTCTAGCAGCTTGTGCCTTTAATCATCCCTTCTCTTGCTCATCCTCTAACATCCTCCCTGCTGCCTTCCTTCATCTGATCCTACTATCTCTTCAAGCCACCATGCTAAATTTCTTCTCATTTTTACAAAAGAGTAAAAAAATTCTACAAAGAACTTAATAAGCCTTTCCAAACTAAATCTACATATATTTTTTAACCTTGGTGACATCAATGCAAGGGTAGGCATTAGAAAGGCAGTCAAAAAATTTAAGATTAAGGAACAAAAGAGGGCAAAGGGATATAGAATACACAGAAGTTTCACACCTATACATCAGGCCTACTTTCTTCAAGAGGACAGTAGGAAGGCACTAGTCAAGGAGAATATGAAATACTATTACAAAAAAAAAATTACTATATCTTAACAGATAAGAAACAACTAGTTTCCTATGTAGAAGTCATTTCCAATTCACCTATTTATGTATACTCAGACCATTTATTTGTTTGAGCCAACATCAAAATCTACACCAAATTAGAAAAAAGGGCAAAGATGAGAAAATATGCCATGCAATTAAAGTAGTCCCAATCTGACCTATTTTTAGTTAATTATTTCTAAGACTGGGTCTCCCTAACTTATCCACACTGGAAATGAAGTGGCCACTTACAGGCATGGTCACACTCTGATCCATACAAGAACCCCCTACTCTAGGGAGTTAATACCAAACTTAGTATAGGCACCTGATTGGCTTTAGCCTACTACAACTCAGAACTCAGAGCTCAAGAGATCTGACAGCTAAAGTCTCCCCTGAGCAAAGAGTTCAAACATGTGCCACCATCCTGACCTAATTAAAGAAGCTACTGACATGGGGGAAAAAAGGGAAATGAATAAATGTGCAGACATCAATATGGAATATTCCTATGACTTCAGATGTAAAGCAATTATGACATCAAGGAAGTAAAAAAACCCTAAAAATTTACCTAGAAATTCAACAACTTTTTGCCAGATATAAATGAAAACAAAGATCAATACTAAATTAGAATATAAAATCATTTGCAAAAAACTTACAAAGTAACATGGCAGAAGATTATGAGCATTACTGGCTCATAAAACAGCAAAAGTAGCAGAGGCAAATTCATTTTTCCTCAAAACATTAATGAGTTTGAGGTAGCTAGGTGGCACAGTGGTTAGAGCACCGGCCCTGGAGTCAGGAGGTCCTGAATTCAAATCCGACCTCAGACACTTGACATTAGCTGTGTGACCCTACCCTAGGCAAGTCACTTAACCCCAATTGCCTCAAAAAAAAAACAACTTTAAGAGTTTTTGAAGAAAAACTGGGAGATAGTACATCACATTACTTCTCCAATTTTTTAACATCAGATTGAAATAGCACAACTCTTACCTCGGGGTGAAATTGTTGTTCAGTACGAGAATGACAATACTGACAGTTATCCCCACTTTCACATTTTGAAGGTTCTCCCCATTCATCTCCATGTTTTACACTAGGGCATGGAGTGGACCTGGAAGGAGGAAAAAAAATTACTGAAAAACAAGAAAGGAAAACGTCACTCATTCATATAATTTGCTGTATTAAAGTCTATAAATACACAGATACAAACATTTGGGGGCATGACCCACCCATGTTATCAGTAGATTAACGCTAGACTAATGGGATACCATCAAATCAGTGGAATAAGCAAAGAAGAGTTAGCTTTAAGGATTCTTAGAACTTTTCATTACAAGTTCTTTTAAAATACCATTTCTCTCATTGAGACGAAAAATAAAATTAAATGGTCAAATGCCAGTCTAACAAAACACAAATTTCTCATAAACTCAGTATATTCTAATCTGTGTCTTTGCTGAGCAATCAAATAGGAAACGTTTTCTAGGGTTGGTTAAAAACATCTTTAGGAGCCTGGAGTTGGAAGAAATGTCTATACTATCTCTCTAGACTTGTTACTAGTGAGGGATTGGGTACTTCTTCAATTCTGAAATTCAAAAGATTTTTAAAGCTTAAATTTGAAGCTTTCAAGCCTACAATCTGAATTTTTTTTTTAGTAAAACTAAAGTTTCTAGAAAGGAAAAAAAAGTATATTTCTTTCTTGGCCTTCCTGGCAACTTTAATATTATTTATCTGGATTTCTTAAAAATTACCACCTTTGGGAAACAAAATTAAGTTCTTTCCAACAGTTTTCTATACAAAAAATCAAATTTCTTTCCTTTGATTCAACAAAGTCAGTTTGTCTCAAGATATTCTCTAATGTCTAAAATTTCTGAATTGCTAATTTGAGCCTATCTGGTCTGTACTAATTCAAGCATATCACTTCAGGTCCTATAAATAAAAAAAAGAAGAAATAAATATATTTTGTATGTCTATAGCGCTGTAACATAAAGGGGTTTCCCCCTCCAACATATAAGACAGAGTAGCAGGGAAATAAACTACAACTAATGAAAAAGGCTACACTTTATTCCTATCTAGAGCTCGGAAGGAGAAGCCAATTGTCTTTTATTACTAGGCAACAACTCCAGGAGCAAAGAGGGAAGAATGAAGTACTTAAGCAGAATAAAGCTGCTGCTATGTTTAAGAAAAATCTAAAGGAAGGCATGTCCTAAAGAGGCCAGCTGAGTGGCTGACACAATCAATAAACATTGTAGATCTTAAAAGAAGACAAATAATAAAAAGAAAAAGCCAGGGTAAAGAGAAAGAGTATTTCAACTAATGAAGAGGAAAGGATATTTTGGAACTAGTGGGAAAGAAAAAGATTAAAAAAGAAATACTTCAATCTTGTAAAACAATTCATTTCCAGGGGTATTCAAGATGAGGATCATTTGGACAAAAACTATAACAAAGAATGAGGAGGGGGATAGTGGTGGTGATGTTTAAAAGGTGAATCGAAAGAACAAGAAGGAAGCTCATAAAAGTAGAATGACAAAGCTGATGTCTAAAATAAATAGGGAATTAATATAAATATGTAAAGACATTCCCAATATGTAAATAAGGAAATAATAAGGAAAGGTTCTCAAAAGATGAACTGCCACAAGAAAACATGCTCCAAATCACTGAGAATAAGAGAAACGCAAGTTTAAGCAACTCTGGAATTTGATCTCATACTAGGCAAACTACAAAATGACAAAATATAGGAAAAATTAATGCTGGGGAAGATAGTGACTCAATGTTCTAGATTTCAATTTAGAATTATACAAGAGGAGAGACAAATTCTCCATACCCCCTTTGACCCAGGGATCCCATTACTGGGGATAACGCCAAGGAAAACAAAAATAGAAACAAAGGTCCAACACAGTCAGTCAATAAACATTTATTAAGTGCCTATTATGTGCTAAGCACTGGGCAAAGCTCTAGGGATACAAAAAGAGACAAAAGACAGCTCCTGCATTCAAGGAGCTTATAGTTGAATTGGCGAGACACCATGCAAACAAATATTTAAAAAAGCAAGTTTTATACAAGATAAATAGGAAATAATAAAAGAAGGAAAGCACCATAATTAAAAGGGGGTGATGCAAAGAGAATGGGAAAGGGAAAGGTAAAATATGGGATTTTAGCTGGGACTTAAAGGAAGCCAAGGAGTTGAGGAGGGAGAGCATTCCAAGAATGGAAGACAGCCAGAGAAAATGCCTGGAGCCAAGAAATGGAGCGTGTTGTTTGTGAAACAGCAATAAAGCCAGTGTCATTGGTTTGAAGAGTAAATAACAGGGAATAAGGTGCAAGAAGAGTAGAAAAGTAGGAGATAGGTTATAAAGGGCTTTAAATGTCAAATGATTTTCTGTTTGATCCTGGACATGAAAGGGAGTCACTGGAGTGTACTGTAGGAGGTAACATAGGTGGACCTGTATAATATACACCAAGATATTCCTGGCTATATTCTTGGTGGTAGTAAAGAACTATAAACAATGTGGGTTCCCAATAGCTAAGAACTGGATGGAAACACTATGGTGTGTGAATGTAATGGAATATTATTGTACAGAAGTATAAGAAATGAGAAATGAGAAATTCAGAGAAATATGGAAGTATCTGTATGATACAGGAAGAAATAACAAAATCAAAATAATATACACAATGACTAACACACCTCACTACTCACAATAAAGAGGCAGAGGACTATGAGAACATAGTATTATATACACTGTCAAAAATGATCACTGTAGGGGCAGCTAGGTGGCACAGTGGATACAGCACCAGTCCTAGAGTCAGGAGGACCTGAGCTCAAATTTGAACTCAGACACTAGCTGTGTGACCCTGGGCAAGTCACTTAACCCCAATTACCTAAAAAACCAAAAACAAACAACAAAAAAAATTATCACTGTATGGAATGTTTTTGCTTAATTATTTTTCTTTGCTATAAGAAAATGTTCAATCTTGAAGCATGAAGATATTGAAATAATTATAAAATAAAGAAAAAAGTCTGTAGTTTTTTATAAAGTAATAATGATATGGTTATTGTATATTTTTCATGTATTAGGTTCATTAAAAAAAACTTTTAGAAAGATAATTTGGACCAACATTTTACTGCATATACCACAATTCAAAATGGATACACAGTATGAATATTAAAGATCACGCTGTAAAAAATTAGAAGAGAAGCAGATCATATACTTTTTATGGGTGTGGGCAAGAGATAAATTCTTAACCAGTACCTCCACCTCCTTTCCCCTCATTCTCTTCTAAACTCTCTGCAGTCTGGCTTCTGACCTCATCATTCACCTGACATTGTACTCTCCAATGTTACCAATGATCTTTTAATTGCAAAATCTGATGGTCTTTTCTGAACCTCATCTTTCTGTAGCCTTTGACACTACTGATCACTCTCTTCTCCTTGATAAACTCTTATATAAGCTTTCATGACACTGCTCTCTTGGTGCTCCTCTGACCTGTTGGACCTCTCCTTCTCAGTCTCTTTTCCTAGATCTCTACCCACTAATGATGAGTATCCCCCAGGGCTCTAGGGTGGACCCTTTTCTCTTCCTCCTCTATACTATCTTACTTGATTATCATATCAGCTCCTATGGATTCAATAATCACCTCTGTGCTGATTAATATCAGATCTCAGATTTTACCCCAAGATCTTTCTTGATCTCTAGACCTACATCTAAAACTGCCTATTAAACATCTTGAACTGGATGTCTCATAGATACCCTAAATCAACATAATCCAAACTGAATTCCTTCTCTTTCTCCCCAAACCTTCCCTTATTCCTAATTTCTGTATTAATATCAAATTGTTGTTGTTGTTCAGTCATTTCAGCCCCATCCAACTCTTTGTGATCCCATTTGGGGTCTTCTTGGCAGAGATACCACAATGGTTTGCCATTTCCTTCTCCAGCTCATTTACAGATGAGGAAACTGAAGCAAACAGGGTTAAGTGATTGCCTAGGGTCACACGGCTAGTCTGAGGCCAGTTATGAACTTAGGAAGAGGAGTCTTTCTGACTCCAGGCCCTTGCTTTATCCACCACACCATTTAACTGCCCTTATTACTATCAAGAATTGTGGGGTATGTGGAGAGGAGTAAAAAAAGTATAAGAAGATTAACACTACCATATTCCTAGGTAACCAAGCTCAAGATCTATATATCATCTCCAAATCCTTACTTTCTCTCACCCTATCCTTCCATATCCAATTTATAGTCAAGCCCTATCAATTTTCCTTTCATAACATCTCACATTCATCCACTTCTCTCCTCTGACACTGCCATCCTGGTGCAGGCACTCATCACTTAACATCCGAATGATTGTAAGGGCCTCATGCTGAGTCTCCCAGTTTCAAATGTCTGTTCATTCCAGTCCTTTTTCCACTCATTTGTCAAAGTAAGCTTCCTATAAAGTTAAAGTCTGACCATATCAACCCATCCCTCACACCATCCCCATTTAATAAACTCCAGTGGCTCCTTGTTACCTCCAGTATCAAATGTAACATCCTCAGTTTGGCATTTACCAACCTGGTAAACCTGGTGACCTTACCAATCTGGCCCTTTCTTACCTTTCCAGTCTTCTTACCCTTTACTCCCCTTCACATACCCTACAATCTAGTAGTGGTGACTTTCTCTGCTGTTACTTAAACGAATAGATTGTTCTCAAATGAAAAACCTGAAACTACCGATAACCACAAGAAAAAGTGCTCCAAATGAGAGAATGTAAATTTAAACAATATTGAGGTTTCACATCATAACCAGTAAACTAACAAAAGAGAATCAGTGATGAAAGGGCTGTGGAAGACAGGCATACTAATTACTGTTGAAGGAGCTGTAAAATAAGTCCAACCATTCTGGAAAGAAACTTGGAATTATGCAAATAAAGCTGAAGGGAGTTAGGCAGCACAGTGGATAGATCACCAGTTAGGAGATTCATCTTTCTGAGTTCCAATCTGGCCTCAGACACTTACTAGTTGTGTGACCCCTGGGCAAGTCACCTAACCCTGTTTGCCTCAGTTTCCTCATCCGTAAAATGAGCTGGGGAAGGAAACAGCAAATCACTCCAATTTCTTTGCCAAAAAAACCCCAAATGGGG